ATGTTTGAAGCCTGAAATGTGGCAAAAGGTTGAAAATTTCAAGGGGGCCGAATACTTTCGCAAGGCACTGTACTTCCTCTCAGCCAGATTATATGCAAACATGGTCCTCAAGTTTACTGTTTGCAGGTGATACTCAGATTTACATTACAACCTCTTCCTCCTCTGATCTCTCTGCTCCATCACTTATCCCGTTTGCATGACATCAAATTCTCTGAAGCGAAACAGTGATGAAACAGAAATTCTACTGGTGGGCAGCATCTCAGCGGGATAAACTTAAGGGTTTCACAGTAATGGTGGATGGCTTCCCCATTCATGCGCAGTCAGGAATTTGAGTGTCACACTTGATCCTCTCCTGTCTTCTGAGCCCCCCGTGAAAAAATCGATTAAGGTGTCTTTTTTCACAACAGAAATCTTGCCCGTGTTAGGCAATTTCTATCAATGTCCAATGCTCAGTGCTTGATTCATGCATTTATAACATCAAGGTTCGATTTCTGCTCTGTGGGCTCCCTAACTCTGCTGTCAACACGTTACAATATATCCAAAACTCTGCAGCAAGCCTTCTAACTCACACCAGACCCTGGCAGCGTATCACTCCTACAGTAAGAACAGTTACAGTAAGTCTCTACATTGGTTAAGTTAAGTTAAGTTGCAGCTGCCATCAGGCAGAACTGCTGTCAGAGTCACCAGGCCCTTGCCGCCGCATTCCAACATGCACTGTTCATCACAATGAATCAATTATCCAGCACCCAATCCAGCAATGATCCCAAACCCAAAGGCAAAGCAACCCTTGAGTGGCTTTAAAAGAAGAAGGTAGAAGTCATTGAGTGGCCCAGTGTGTCCAGATTTAAGTCCCATAGAACATCTGTGGAAGGACCTGAAGATCGCTGTACTCCACCACTCCCCCAGGGAGCAACATGGGGCAATTCCGCAAGGAAGAGTGGGCAAAAATTAACCTCACAAGATGTGAAAAGCTGGGTACAACACACTGCAAAAGACATGAGCCTCTAACTGCTGCCTCAAAAGAGCAACTACTGTACATGTTAAATGCTTAAGGTCTCAGGGGGTGACTACTTGTCAAAGCTGGACAAGTTTTCAGTTTCAGTTTTTTTATTTTGCCTTAAAATGTTCTGTCACAATAAAAATGATAATGCCCCATTAAAATGTTACATATGTTTTATAAATCACACAAAAAATCCTGTTTAAATGTGTTACAATCTGATCTTGTAACAGCAAAATGTGGTAGACATCCAAGAGGGGTCAATATTATAGCTATAATCATATACTGTAGCTCTTTATATAATATAATAATATTTACCTACATCCTATTCACAAGGTCCTTCTGCATTCACATTTTGAAATTCTCTGTCCCATTATCACCCATGTTTTCAATGAATCATTTCCATCAAGGTCTGAAGTTTTACTTCTGCTCTTCATCCCCCAATTACAAAA